GGGGCGGCCCGGGGATGCTCTAGGGAAGGAAGGGCAGAGCCAGGAGACAGCAGCCCTGCCCCAGAGGTACGTGGGGGGCGACCTTTGGGGGCCCTGGCAGGCCTGGGGACCAGCAGACCAAGGCTGTACGTTGTGTACTGATCTGCGGGGGCCTACGGTGACAGGCACTATGGCATCCGTGCCTGGGGGCACATCCAGCAAGGGGGACCCATCCCTTACCCTGCTCCGGGTGAAGACCCTGTGATGCCTGCAAACAGGGTGCTGGGGACCCAGGGCTGAGCCTCACGGTCCTCTGAGAGCACAGCTCGACCCATAGCAGCTCCAGGAGGGCAGAGGCTGGGAAAGGGTTGGTTCTGGAGCCTGCAGTGTGGGCCAGACCTAGCACAGATCCACTGCAGCTCCCCCAGCCCAGCACCCACAAAACCCGAGCAGGGAGGGTGAGGTGGGAATGCAGGTCCTGCTGCATCCTCACCACCCCTCTGAGCCCCCTCATCCCTCTCCCTGGGTTTGCTCTTGTTTCATTCTGGTCTTTATCACCACCTGGAATGTATTTCAGGATGTTTTGACTTGCAGCCTCGGGGCTCTAGCAGCCACTGTGTTTAAATCTTCAAACCACTGTTGGAGAACATCCAACCCTGACAGGAAAAACAACTTTTTTTTGTGTGTGCCCATGTGGGGACCTCCTGCCCAGCCTGTGGGGTGCAGGGGGAGATGCCTCCATTTCCAGCCCTACAACAGCCTGTGAAGCATGCTGCCTTTTTCAGTGTGAATTTCCTGGTGAAGAATTTCTCCTCCCTGCAGAACAGTTCCCAGCAAAGCTGCCTTTTCTCCAGGGCTGAGCCTGCTGCAGGTCCCAAGGGAATGTGTGGTTTGACAGTCCCAGAGCTAAGGGAAAGCCATGGGCTTCCCAAAACCCTGGCAGGCTGCATGCCATGCTCAATGGCATGTGGCTGGCACAGCTGGAGACCAAGCAGGGTGAAGATAATCAGTGCTGAGGCTCCCCTGGATGAAATCTGCTCACAAGACCCTGGCTGGCCTCCTCTGTGCTCCTCTCCATGGATCCACTCTGCCCGTGGTGCTGAGCATGGGCAGGCACCGGGCCAGGGTGCAGGCAGGGAGGACTCAGCACCAGGCTGCCTGTGCAGTGCCCACAGTCCTGCCTCGGCCCAGCAGCACCAGGGAGACTCTGGCCAAGTACACAGGGGGACAGAGGCACTCGAGAAGTGCATGAGGGGACAAGCCCTTTGCACAGGGTGTGAGCAGCAGGAAAGCCCTTTGGAGCCTTTCTCCCCATCCCTCCGCCCCTTCCCAGTCCCAGGGAACGTGACTCATAAGCCCGGCATCCATCTTGGCCTTGAACACCCTCCACAAGCACTGCCAGAGCACGCCCGCTGGGTCCCCAGACCCTGCGCCTGGGGGACAGCAGGAACAGCCTACCTGGAGGCTGGCCCAGCCTGGCAGTCTCTGACCAGGGACTCTGAGAGCAGGCGTTTACCAAAACAGCAGGATTCCACCCTAAACTCCTTCCCCATGGCCTGGCCCACCCCCAGGACATGGAGCTGCACTGCATGGAGCCCTTTGCCCCTTGGGGCAGATGATCACAGACCCAGATCTCATAGAGCATGGCCAGGCAGCACAGGGAAAAGCAAAGGCCATATACCTCCAAGGAGGCACCTTCCCCATCCCAGCACTACCACGCCCCAGCTCCACAGGGTGTGGGACAGGAGCCCACGCTGCAGCCCTGTGCCTGGCTGGTTGCACCTGGCACTGCCTCAGTCCTGCTGCCACGGGGTGCTGAGCAGTGTTTGGCCATAGCTGTCCTGGCGCCTTTGGGGCTGCAGGGTGAGGTGCTGTGTGCCCAGCCCCACAGATATGGCTGTGATAAGGCAGGGAAGGGCAGCGGAGCTGCCCAGATTGGGCCATGGTGCCACCAGCTACTGCAAATATTAGCTTTGGCCCCATGCAGGATGCAGACTCCCAGGAAGGTTTCTCCCCGTGGCAGCCAGCTCTTGGCAGGGGCAGCCAGCCTGCATCCACCTCCCCAGGGAAGCAAGCCTTGTCTCCCTGCAAACCCTCAGACCAAGGGCTGGCAGCTCCCAGGGCACAGGAGCCCCTTTCATGGGGTCTTCAGAGCACTGCACACCCTAAAAGGCAGGAGGAATGCAGTCCCCACCCCAGGCAGGCTGGGGTCCCCCACAGCAGGAAGGGCTTCACCCTAACTTTTGCCTCAGGGCATCTGGAGCTGCCTATGATTTTTCCCAGGTTCTGACACCCTGAGTTGGTGCTCTTGGGTGTCCATGGGAGGCAGCTGGAGCCAGGCTGAGAACGAGCAGCAGCATGTGGCTCAGGGCTTGGACCATCAGCAGGAGGCTGCTGCTCCACTCCCCCCTTGGCTCCTTCTTCTCTGCATGCCAGGGCTTGGGCAGCTGCATGGCCCTGGCTCCCACCTTGCTGTGCCCAGAGCCCCTGCACTGCCCCAAACCAGGGTATCCCCAAGTGTTCACTGCAGTGTCATCAAGATACACAGCCCAGCTAAGAGCCAACTATTTAGGTATAGATGGTCTCTGCAGCTCTGAGAGATGCACATGTCCATGCTGGAGTTTCTGCTGGAGACGGGCTGCTGCAAGAGCAGCCTTTTGGGGCTGGAGGCACAGCCATGCCATGCCTGGAGCTGTGTGGTGCACTGGGACCCGTCCTGGGGACGTGCAGGGCACAGCCAGGCTGGCATGGCACGGTGTCTCATCCCCCACATCATCCCTGGCATTTCACAGGGCACTGCACTGCCACAGCATGGAGGGCCTTTGGGGACTTGGTGTCCTGCTGCTCTGCTGCCTGCTGCTGCCCTTCCCTGCCGGGAGCCAGACCAGCCCCAGCCCTGACCCGCGCTGGCAGACAGACCCCAAGGAGGCACCGTCCCAGCACCACACTGCCAGGTGAGGCGACCTTGGGGCTGGGGCACTTTGCAGCAGGGGAGGGGGCAGCCCTGGCACCACAAAGGGCCCCGGTCCCCACCTGTAGCTCCCTGTTGCGCTTTGCTTTCTGCCCTCCCCAGGGCCCCGTGGGAGCAGAAGGCTGGTGGTGTCCAGGAGGGGCTGCCCGCCCGGCCCCACTGCGTCCGCTGCTGTGAGCCTGACCAGCGCTTCTACCCCCAGTACCAGCCCCTGCCTCAGATCAACATGACCATCCTGAAAGGTGAGGGCTGGTAGCACCCCATGCTGTGGCATTGCCCACTGCCAGACCTGCAGCCTGGGCACCATCAGCCCCCCTGAATCTTCCCAAGGCCAGTGCAGAGCTGGGCTCCCTGTTCCAGCTCCCTGCAGTGTCCGTCTTGCTGGGAGTGAGGAGCAGGGGCTGTAGTTCAGCACCTTGCATGGGCAGAGGGGTGGCAAGCAGGAGATACCTGGGGGCACAAGCTGCTCCTGCTCTGGGCAGCAGCAGAGCCCAGGGAGCGGGCAGGGGCTGGGGGAGGTCACCCTGTCTCCATCCCCTTCTGGCAGGCAGAGGGGCTTTCAGGGCACTGGTTTGACAGTGGTGGCATTGAGATTACACCACCTCTGAGAGCACAGCTGTCCCTCCTGCTTCACCCAGGTGAGAAGGGAGACCGTGGTGAGCGAGGCATGCAGGGCAAGTTTGGCAAGACAGGGGTGGCCGGCAGCAGGGGCCACACGGGGCCCAAGGGACAGAAGGGCAGTGTGGGTGCCCCCGGGGAGCGCTGCAAGAACCACTACGCCGCCTTCTCTGTGGGCCGCAAGAAACCCCTGCACAGCAACGACTACTACCAGACCCTCATCTTCGACACGGAGTTTGTCAACCTCTACGACCACTTCAACATGTTCACGGGCAAGTTTTACTGCTACGTCCCTGGGATCTACTACTTCAGCCTCAACGTGCACACATGGAACCAGAAGGAGACCTACCTGCACATCATGCACAACAGGGCGGAGGTGGTGATCCTCTATGCCCAGGTGAGTGACCGCAGCATCATGCAGAGCCAGAGCGTCATGCTGGAGCTGCAGGAGCAGGATGAGGTCTGGGTGCGGCTCTACAAGGGCGAGCGTGAGAACGCGATCTTCAGCGACGAGTACGACACTTACATCACCTTCAGCGGCCACCTCATCAAGTACAGTGGGGACCCTTAAGCACCTGCTCCCTCTCCCCTGGGGCGGGTGTTTGAGGATGCCCTGCCACCTGGTCACCTCAGGCATGCCACCCACCTTTAAGCTGTTATCCCTTCTACATGCCACTACCCCCAGCAGCTGTGCCGATGTGGGAATGCCCCCTCCCAGCTCCTTGAGGCCAACTGGATGCAGCTGGAGTTGGAGCCATTTCCAGCCCCTGCTGCATTTGTGACCCAGGCAGTAGGGAGCTCATTCCCACCCATGCCTGCCTCCGAGCTGAGTTTGCTGGGGCACAGGCATGTATGGCACCAGCTGTGAGCTGGGTATGACAGCTGGTGCTCTGGTGTGAGGCAGTGCAGACATGTGTCATGTTCCCCCCTCGCCCTCTGATGTGCTCCAAGGCTCCTTCTGGAAAAGGACAGAGGGTGCTCAGCATCCAGCAGGAAAGGCAATAAAACCACTAAGGGCCCCTCTTCCCTTCTGCAGAGCTGGGTGCCACTGGCGCAGATGTTGCTGGGTACCCCTGGAGTGACACTTCCCCCAAGCACTCCCACAGGGAGGATATTGCGTCAGTTCCCCTCAGCAAGTCCCTGTCACAGTTCCCCTGCTGCAGCCTCTGCTCGGTGCTGACACTGCCGAGGAAGGACTGGCTCCCCATCGGCAGCCCTGGGCACAGGGCCTTTGGCCTCCACCGCTTCCTCTCCGGTTAGATTCTCTGCTGGCCAGGCTTTGAGTTTTTGTAGATGCAACAGCAGAGTGGGGCCCAGGGCAGCGTGCTGCCCCCCCGCTCTCTGTACAGCTTGTGACCACATTAAACACAACTTCGGGTCCTACTCACACTTTCAGTGTGGCCACTTGTCTTGTGTGAGGGCTCCTGGGGTGCAGGGGCTCCCTGAAAGCCAGGGCTAGCATGGTGCTGCAGAGCTGGTGGTGGAAAGGGAAGGGCAGCCTGTCCCTGGAGAGCCAGCAAGACCTGAGCCTGGCTCCACAAGGGCTGGCTGCTCCCTCGGAGCTGACAACAGAAACAGACCCACCAGCCTGCAAGCAGGGCAGACTGGGGTGGGGCCCGGGCTCACCAAGCATCTGGATCATCCTCCAAGTCCACGGTGATGAGGCAGGTCTGAGGTCAAGCTGGGAAGCTGGTGTGTCTGAACTGGTAGATCCAGGGCAGGGCTGCAGCTAGAGACCAGCATCCTTCAGCACAGCAGGGAAGAAGGGTGGGCACAGGGCTGAGCTTTAAATAGAGCCCCCGTCCCATGTGTGGGTGGTGGGTGGGCACGGGGCCAGGTGAGGCTGCTGGGGCTGTCTAGGGCAGGTGCTGCCCCAGGCACTAACACTGCTGTCTCCGCGGGACTGGCCCCAGGGACCCTGGCAGGAGCCTCTCCTGGGGCACACGTGGCATCCCGGCACACACATCCCATCCCGGCACACACATCCCATCCCGGCACACACACACGTCCCATCCCGGCACACACACACGTCCCATCCACGCCCGCACACACACCCCATCCCGGCACACACACACGTCCCATCCCGGCACACACATCCCATCCCGGCACACACGTCCCATCCCGGCACACACACACATGTCCCATCCTGGCACACACATGTCCCATCCCGGCACACACACATGTCCCATCCCGGCACACACGTCCCATCCCCGCACACACGTCCCATCTCAGGACACATGCCCTGTCTCCGGACACGCAGTTCATCCTGGGACATGTGACGCTGTCCCAAGACTCATGTCGCATCCTGCAGACACGCGTTCCGAGGCGGTGCGGGGGGCGGGCCGGGGGGGCGGGGCT